CACTGTATTCAAGTTTGTCAGATTCAACAGTTTAAGACTGTTGTGACAAGCGCTGAGTTCCTACTTTTCCTTGGAGGTGATGGTGGAGGGATGCATTTTGCTCTATTATATTCACAAACAGTGAATCATAGACACGATTTAACAGACATTAACAGTGAAAGAACCAATGTCTTCTTCTGAAAATGACTGAAATTCATGGATTATCCTATAAATTCAAAGGACAAAATAAGTGTGTATGTTACACAAAAACAAAAGTAAGGTAACACAAAACTGCAACTGGCCTCAGCAAAATCAGCACGGGAATGTCTTCTGAATTGTATGTTACTGCTACAGAAGGGGAAGTGCCATAGATTAATAAGAACTTTTAACTTTGTGAAGGTTGTAGGCATGCATTTTTTACCCAAACAGCTACTCATTAATGAATATTTATGGAAAAAATAGGCTGTGAAGCCACAAAAGTGTTTTTAGTGTGTCATTGTTATCAGTTCCACTAAATAATTGTCATTACAAATCCAAAAATATCTTGAATGGATAATACTGAATAATCTAGATTGCCAAATTGCATTAGGAGGGTATTAGCTGACTCAGGAGACTAATTATAATGAGGTATTGAACTGCTTATCTCTCATCTCAATCTTAAAACCATAAACCACACCGTATGGGCAGCGGCTGCTGGTCAGGGTCAGTGTGGGGTAGTGAAAATAGCATTGAACAAGGGTCAGGCGCCTCAGCTCTGCCATTAACTCTGTAACCTTGGAAGCTCTTTAAAAAGATCATGCTATATGTGTAGAGCAGATCCTGTCTTTAGAGAAAAGCAGTTACACTAGTTGCCATAGCTGCTCATTCACAGAAACACCTAAACTGCAGAAAGACTGTGTGTGTGTGCATGCGCACATACACACACATACACACACACACTCACTCACTTTTCCCAGACTAATACCTTCCTGCTTAATGGGCCAGTCTAGTCCTACTATTAAACAGATGATTATAATTTGAGCAAGTGTTATCCATCCATGTCCTAAAAACAGTAGCTGACATAAAAATCATCAAACTGATTTCTCACCCATAGAGTTTGTTAGCCAGAGGTCAAGGCTAAAATTTTTAGATTTGTTCCTGAATCTATTTTTAAATAATATCTTTATTTTGCATTTTTAAATTTTGAAATTACCTGCCAGCTTTTTAGGTATTAAGCCCAGCAAAGTCAATGGACACAATTTCAAAAGTGTGCTGGGGTCGGTAGAGTTAGTGGGATTTCTGAGCATCTCACATTCAGCTACATTCAAAGATACAGAAATAATTAAGACAGAATTTCTCACTTCAAGTTGCTTTTGATTGTTGGTAAGAACAACACATGGTGTCCTAATTGTTACTTTATATGCCTTAAAATTCATAGGGGAGCACAGAGGAGGGGGTAGTATTTCTACCAGAAAAAGATGTGTGTACATGGCAGGGCAGAGAAAGGGTGAGCAAAGGGAGATGTCAAAGGTGGCTTCACTGAGAAGGTGACTTTTTCACTGGATTAAAGTCCTTATTCTAACCCTTCCTAGGAGAAGCTATGAGTGTTACCAAAAATCTGTGAGCTTTTGATTCCCCATCAATTATAGAGTTGCTGAAGTCATAGGTCTGTCAGGAGGCCAGCATATAGGAGAGCAATTCACTCAGCAAAGCACTCAGCAAATAGGGTAGGATTATTTCCACTTTACAGACTCACTAACTTGGTTCACTCCAAAGGAGAGCCCGTGTCCCATCTGAGACTCTAGCTGTCCTCCCTCTACACTGCCCACTGGGACTCTTGAGCAGATACGGAAAGCATTTATCCTGATAATATTTTATGGGCTATAAAATCATGTTAACACAGTCATATAAATAAACATTCCAATATCTGAAGACTTTTCTGTGAAATGTTGCTTCTAAATCCTAAGAGGACTCTGCCAATAAAAGAAGGAATCAACGGAGCATTGTAAGGAAGGAATCATGATGGGGAAAATCATAAGTATTTAACACAGGAATAAAACAGTCATATACTTTGTTTTTATAAATGGTTTTAAACAGCCTAAAGTTTCAGAGAATAAAATATGGCAGGTCCTCAACTATTTAAAGTGATTTATCTGTGAATTTTAGTAGAAAACATCTGACTAGATAATATTTTGCATTTAGTAATTACTCAACAACTGATGAATTCAAAGAATTAACCTGATCAATTTTACCCCTAAGATTGTAATATTAAAATTTCTCTCATTGTAAAACATAAATTTTTCTTTAATCTAAAAATCTATAGCCAGTTTTAGTACTTCCAATATAAATTTTTATTTTAATCAGAACATGTCTCACTCATGTTTAAAAAAACAGAAAAAATAAAATATAAGTATGTCTACTACATCAATAATAGGCTTAGAAATCTTAAGTAAAACAATTGCATACCTTGTGCCAGACAATGTGTTGAGAGATGGAGATATTCAGATATCCATGGGAAATTCACAAATAGTAGTCCTTATTGAGTGTATCCATCTGTATCAGTTGGAGTTTTCTAGAGAAACAGAACTAATAAACAATAGATAAATAGATACAATAGGAATTGTATCATGCCATTAGGGAGGCTGGAGAGTCCAAAATCTGCAAAGCTGATATCTGAGTTTGAAGGCTACTAAGCAGGAGAATTTTCTCTTACTTGGGAGAGCATTCGCCTCTTGTTCTATTCAAGCCTTCAACTGAATGGATAAGGTGCACCCACATTATGATAGGCAATCTACTTTACCTCAGTCCACCAATTTAAATGACAATCTTATCCAAAAACATCCTTACAGAAACACCTAAAAGAATGTTCCATCAAATATCTGGGCACCCTGTAACCCAGTCAAGTTGACATATGAAAGTTAACCACCATATCCTCTCACCCCCACCCCAAAAAACCTTCTAAATTTGGTAAAGAATTTATTACCAAAGACAAGTCACTTCAACAATATGCCAAGAAACTAGTTTTCTTTTTAGATAAGGCTCTGGCCTACTGATCAAATTCTTTTGGGTAAACATTGATCTCTACCACTTATGAGCTATGTGACCCAGACACACACAACTTAAACAACATACGTTGAACTGCATGGGTCCACTTATACATGGATTTTCTTCTGCCTCTGCCACCCCAGAGAGAGCAAGACTAATTCCTCCTCAGTCTACTCAGTGTGAAGGTAATGAAAATAAAGGCCTTTATGATGATTCAAATCCACTTAATAATTTTCTCTTCCTTATGATTCTCTTTATAACATCTTCTCCTCCTTAGATTACTTTAAGAATATAGTCTACAATACACATAGCATACAAAATATGTTTAAATTGATTGTATATGTTATCATTAAGGGTTCCAGCTGGCAATAGGTTATTAGCAGCTAAGTTCTGGGGGAATCAAAAGTTACACATGGATTTTCAACTACATGGGGGCCAGTCCCCCTAATCTGCATTTTGTTCAAGGATCACCTGTACTTACCTTTTTGAGCCTCACCTGCCTCATACATTATAATAGAGAAAAATATTATATACTTAGTAGAATTTTGGGAAAGATTAAATGAGATGATTTGTGTAACACGTCTCTCACATAATGAGTTCTCAATAAACATTAGCTGCTCTACTGTTAACAATTACAGTTATACCTATGATAACCGTTCTGATTGTAGGCCTTACTGAAACTTATTAAAATATGGCACAATTGCCTTAACTGGGATACCCATTTCTATTGTCACACACCTGGAAATTTTATCAGTTATTTATATACATAGTTGTATCCACTGTTTATAAACATAGATCATTTGGCCAAGGAGAAGTAACTTAGCGATTTAATCAAAATAATTTCTGCACTGGGACAATCAGTTGCGGGGGGGGGGGAAGAAATCCTAAAAGCTCCTCCCTTAAAGATTGTAAAGAGAAATGTGGAAGCATGGTTGACAGAGTCCCTTCTGCACTCACCAGTCAGGACACAACAGAAACAACATTCTGCTGACCTTGTTTGTTTGGCCCCAGAAAAAAAGAACTAGAAGGAGAATTGGTCTCTATAGAGTGGCCCTATCTATCCTAGAAACTGAGGGACTCTCTTCATGGGGGGAAGGAGGTGGTCTCAGCTTCCTCCTCCAAAACTTAGGAGCCTTAATGTACCTCTGCCCCATCCTTATTTAACTCAAAGTCTTAAAGTCTATGTTTTTCTATGAGTACAAAGAAAGGAAATCTGTGCATTTGGAGAAATTCTTAAAAGCCAACGAGCCAGGCTTCCCTCCAAGGCTACTATCTCTCTCTGCCCTTCCTCTCCAAAATTATTAGTCTTCTGCATCCTCAAGGTCAAGGTTAAATTCAGATTGCTACTCCTGTCTTTTCTGATCCTATTTGCCTTTTTCTGTTCTCCTCAACCGCCTCTTCCAGAATCCACCATCTTATGCAAAATAAGTCACAACTTCAGAGGAAAGTTTGGATGTAAATACGGCACCCCCCAACGCCTACACATCCCTTTCCTTCTCTCCCTCCTAACATTTTCTTACTGCCTCAGCCAGTAGAGGAGTTTAAACATTTAAATGTGGTATCTAAACTGCATTTAAAGAATTAACCCATTTTGCCCCTCACTGGTCTAAACCACGGGGTGCCAACCGGACGTTAATTGCTTTCATCTGGTAGGGTTCCAGACAACTCCTCAGAAGGAAGGAGCGCACATTCCTGGCACCAATTGGCTAATTCAATTTACTTCAACTGCATTAGCCTCTGTCAGAATATTCATGAGCAGGGGAATGAGGACCCGCGACACAGGCAGGCAGCAGCCACTCCGGCTAGGGAAGGCGCGAGGGAGGGGACGCGGACCACGCGCAGCGCTCGGGGGACGGTGACC